ACCGACTGATCTGTATATCTCACACTATAGGCGTGATGATACGACTGAGAAATGTCGATTGACAACGGGGGTGCTCGATGACGCAGTTGATTTCGGAGATCGGTGAACGTCGAACGAATGACCAAAAGATCAGTCTGACTTATCGAATCTGGGCTCGATCAGGCTCAGAAACAACTTGTCCAAGCACCTCAGATCCCCAACAAGAGCTGACTAGATGAGGGTCACCGTTAGGGGTGAGATTATCAGAAAGTACCATTCCCGGCTATCTCTAAGATCTACGAGAGTCTGGGGTTGCCTGTGAACAATATGCCGCCGATGGGCCAGAGGTGTATGTATAGCGGACATGAAATGATTTACTAGTAATGGTATCAGGAACCTATCTGTCACCACGTTACCATTTGTTCATCTACCCTGTACACCTATTTGATACCTGGATTGGTCAGACCTATGGGAGAAGGGAAGTTGTTAGGCTGACAACAAGGATTTTCCACAGAAAGAAGTCTCCCGCACCGTCACGAACGACCGAACATATCGAAAAAAGACGTTGCAAAGGTGCAAGGAATACTGGAACAATCGAAAGGAAAATACCAGCGAAAGTGACACATTCCGAGCAGCTGCAATGACGGTCCTACCAGTTTTTGTACTGGTTATGACACATAGGTATTCAAAGTCACATGGCTGCTCTGCTCTCTGGGAAGAATTCTATCCATTGTTTTCAACTGAAGAACATTGCACACGACCTAAACGATCTTCACTCTTTCTGGTTATAGAGCGAAGAAAAAAAAAACGAACGTAACCATGGAAAAGAAACAACTAAACCCAAGAGAATCGCACGACAGAAACACAGTAACGAGTAGCAGTAGCAGTAGTAAAGTACTCATAACTATAAAAGAAAGTAAGACATGTTGAGAACAAAAAGCGAGAACAGATCGCAAGAACATCATAGGTGATTAGATTTGGAAAGTACCAGAAGGTGTCTGGCTGACATCCACCGATTTTAAAATGAGACGGTACAAACGTAATTTTGCAGAACTCATAAATCTGCACACTTTTTCCTTCAACTCCGTGTGAGGACCGTTTAAGGACGTGAGGATACGTAGCGGGGAGAGGGCCGCCAGAAAAAAGTAAAGAATTCTTATTAAAGCACTTCCAGAACGTTCTGACCATATCCCGGGGCCTGAACCCTGAAGTTGCGATCTATGATCTACTCGATAAAAACACATTTTTCAAAGGATAACCATAATGTTATTCGGTAAGATAGGTTCGAAGTTTCAGATCATACAATCGACCAAAGAAAAAGGAAATGCAAAAGAGAAAAGTTAAGTAGGAAGGAAAAAGCACGTGCCTTTGTAGACAGTCGGGAAGACCTGGGATGGGTGACGACACGGTACAGGGCGTTGGCGCTCTTTGGTCCCTTCACACCTCAATGACTTTCATCTACCTGTCAACCTGTTTACAATGACAGAAAAACAATGCAGATGCTAGACGACAACGTCTGGTGGAACACAACACACGTACGAGATCGAACAGGATGTTTGGTGCCAAAAATAGCGTTTTACGCCGTTATTAGAGACGCCTTGACACCAGACGATCATGGGTTGTTCTTACAATAGGGGGCAGTTACAAGTTTTCGGTGAAAAAAGTGAAAAGTGCATGCGCCCACCGACTATTGCCATCTGTCTTCCTGCAAAGACTCGTCCATTATTTCTCTTGTTGTCTGAACTCTCTCACTGAGACGGCCTCTGCACTTTGTCAGAGATCACAATGGCGCCCGAACTGGCGTGCATCGACCCCAGCCTTGTTCCGCGACACTGTCTCCGAGCTAGGATTGCCCTCCAGGCCTTGACCACGGCCATATTTTTATACAAAGTAAGTAGGGCAGAGTGGGCCATGGACGATTTCGACCCTATCGTTCTATGAAATCTGCTTGTTCACTGCAACAAGAAAGAACAGGCTCCAACTTTCTGATTACAAAGATCACAATCACCAAAGTAAACAGCATAGGTGAAAAGAAGTGGAGGCACGATGCTGATGATTATGTTGGCATGACTATCCAGAGCCATGTCTACAATTGGGGACCGTATGCCTCACTTCTAACTGGAAGTTTTTCTTTAAAAACCGCTTTGTTATTCCTTTGCTTATCACATCATATCAAACTTTTTTAGGGGTGAACGGTACGTAGGCTCGCATCATTCACTGTAACGGCCTTTCCTTCCAAACAACTTCTTCGACCGAGAGAACAAGTCTTGCAGCACAAAAAAATACATTAAATGGTGCAGCAGTAAGTGGAACTCTAGCCAGTGATCAAGATAATGGGAGCAAGTGGGACCAGTGAGCTTAGTATATAGTGTTTCATCCGAATGGCAGCGGCTGGCGCGTATGCAGCAACAGACAGAGCTCCGCTATTGATTGGTGCGCCGCATTGATCAATATATGCCCCGGTTCACTACACCTGTTCTGCAGAGATCTATGCGCCTTATCGGCAGTTGGAGCAACAATTAGAGAAAAAAGTAGTTCCAAATAAAAAAAGAAGGGAATACGGGGAATTCCTTATTGGACGACTCTACAAAATTACAGCATAGCAGCAGTCTAGTAAGTAGCTAGCTATGTCCACATAGGGCAATCCGTGTTTTTTCCAGAAAACTAATTTCATCATCTAACCTTGAAATGTTCATCTAACACTTTATTAAAGGATTTTGCTGCCATCCTGTTTCCGGGGAAAGGATTCGGCTTTTTTTGGGTAGGGGAAATACCCGAGTCGAAGCAAGTTGTAAATATGTAAGATGGGCTAATGAGTCCGGGAATACGTACATAAGTAACACGCATACTCAGCAGATCTCCCACGCGATTCCAAGCATACTAATTATGAAGGTCCCATACCAGAATATCCAATGGCTAGGTACGAGTAACGTACAGAACGTAACTAANGAAGCAAGTTGTAAATATGTAAGATGGGCTAATGAGTCCGGGAATACGTACATAAGTAACACGCATACTCAGTAGATCTCCCACGCGATTCCGAGCATACTAATTATGAAGGTCCCCATACCAGATTATCGAATGGCTAAGAAGAATAAAGGGACAGAACGTATCAAACACAAAACTCATGAATATTCGAGAAAAAATTCGGACCTAATGACATTCCTAGACCGAACGATTGGCGGCTCATGGTTTGAAACTCAAAGTATCAACACATTTACCGTTACAAATTGTTTCAGTAACGGTCCAAATAGTTGTAACATTAACGTTGTGTAAAACTCTTCGACGAATAGATGTCACACGCGTAGTATCATTTTAACAAATAAAACAAGTCGAGTGAGACGGCGCCAGTTCATTGTTCAGTGAGCTTTGTCTGAACGTTCGTCGCCTTTAACAACGTCTCCCCGTCCACGATCATCATACAATGAAAGGCCCTGTTCACCTTGAACTTTTCAAATTACACGAATGATTAATAGCAATCTAATATTTCGGTTCAAAAAAGACAGGGATAAATGGCAAGGGTATTGTTCAGTAGTTTGTTCATTCGTCTTGGTTAAGAAGTAGGAGTTGTAAAGATCAGGAAGGACAAAGAGCAGAATACGAGTTTGCCAGGAAAAAAGGAAACAGTTGAGTAAATGTATGTCGTGCTCCAGAGGCTGTTGAGGGCTAAAATTCAGGCTCTCTATTTAGTGGGTTCACCTGACCCTGGCCTGAGCGGTCATACGGCGAAGGCTTTTTGTCACAGAGTCCGAAAGACCATCCAGGACTGGAGCGGTCATGGCTATGGTCGATGAAGATCAATTGTAATTGTAATTGTAATTGTAATTGTTTATTGCACAGGTTAACACCCATGCTAAGTTAACGAAAAGTATAAAAACCCAGAAGTGACGAAAAAGTGGAACAGTTCCTATAGGCAATCTAAAGTTCACTAGGAGCTACCAGAGTGAGAGAAAAAGAAAGAAGGAAAAAAACAAAGAAGAAAAAACAAAAAAAAACTCCGGTTTCTTTCTGGAAATTCCTCCGGTAAATTAGGCAATCAAATTTAAAATTAGGCTTTTAGAGGTATTTGGTAGTATGTGCGGCAACGTAGAATTGTGTGGATGTTCGTCATCCTTCAAATTACACTTTTAGCCACTCAACAAATACCAGTTACTTGACTCTAGAGGGATGGGAGGTTCGGGCAGGCTTCGATCCCAAATATGTGGCGCAGCTGTTTTGTTGATCGGAAATGCCAGTCGAAAAGGGTTTTTGCATGTTATAGAGGTCCATGCATACACCTAGCAAGGTTCAATTTACTTGTGTAGTTTCCTGAGTGCCCGAGTAGCCCAAAAAAAATTAACTCGGTTAAAGTGCAAATTCGAGATTTTTCGTTTTTAAGCAGGATCTGCACCAAAGCAGGTTTCCCCCGAAATTGTTCGTTTTCCAGCTTCTAAAATTGAAGGCATGGAAGCGCTCAACTGTAACTGCAGTAGAAAAGTTTCTGTACGAACAGGTGAGAATTTCTTGCAAGATTTCTTGACAACAATCGGAGTTACCAGTTTCAGTTCTGGGTCTGGGAACTGATGGCGGACCTATTTTGGAATTGGTTTCGATCCGCAGCTTATTTGTAAACAGAGCCTTATGGCATTCCGAAAACACAAAGGCATCGAAATTTTGGGAGTCAGAGGAGTGTCCTCTACCCTATGTTGGTAGGGAATATTTGGGCCTTGTGGGCCAGTCATCGGAGAAGCGAAAGGTTGATGAAATTAAAGTAGTTGAAATAAAGTTTTATTGAAATTGTAGTTTACACCGTTACATTCTATGCGAACAAATTTAAAGTACACATGAAGCGATGAGCCATATTTGCTGGAGCTTGACAATGTAACAATCAAAAGTCCGTCTCAGATGTGGAGCAGCCACCAGATCCTTCCACCTTGTAGCACAAATACAAATTCGTCTACATACATTGCCAAGCATACACGACGACAACACATAATTCAAAGAGATTCCATTTAATCCTACAGGATGGGTGATGAGTGTTTTCACAGATTGTCCCATTCGTCATAAGCGGAATTCGGCTGATATTCCTCTTCAGCCGAAGCCTTCTTCTTCAGGGCGAGTTGATTCTGAAAAGGCAAAGGCACTTCATAGCGATACTCAGTAGGAGATAGGACATGAGGAAATGATGAGGGCTGTGTACACCTGGTAATTAAAGGCACAGCTCACGATAAACTGGTTTT